AAAATTCAATCAGGACAGATTCGCATCTTGCGATTTATGAAATGCAGACGCGGAATACGCGAGATATCGCGATTATTGCTGCAAGCGAAGCGAGTCCAGACTCGGGAGACAAGTAGCATTCACGATTTATGAGACTTGTTGCCGTTACGTATCGCGGATTGGATATGAAAATAGATTATTGTGTGCGATAAAGCAAGCTGGAGAAAGAAAGATAGGAAGGGAAAGGAGGAATGCGCACGTAGGGCGAAACTCTTCTGCTGAAGGGCCGCGAGACATTATTGTCGGGGTCCTCTAAGTCCAGTCTCTCGACACATTTGATACGACGATAAGCGAGATTAAACGAGTCTATCGGATCGATCAAATTTACTAGTCTATGCCAGAAGAAACGCAATTATATATATATATATATATATATATATATATATATATATATATATATATATATATATATATATACGAGCGAGACAAGTTGCGCGACAATGAGAAAATGAAAGTCAGTTGTATATACCGGATGTTCTAAGATGATTTGATACATTATAATAAATTTTCAATCAAAATTAAATACGTGAAACGAATTGTCGCATTTAGTCGCATGCTATTGTTTGCAAAGGAACTAATTTAATCTCAGGCGTGAGCATATTGTCATGTTGAAAGGTATATTGATGTTAATGACGGAATTTTTGAAAATTATTATAAAGCATATTAAATCTATCGTTTAAACAATAAAGTTAAAAACAGTATGTAATATCTTTTACTTTCGGAATAGGACATATGTTTATATATACTTTTTTTCTCAAGACGATAATCTTTAAAATATATTGATATTTTTTTCCTAGGACATCCTCTATTTCCAACTCCAATAATGCTTCATATGTGTGCTTGTTGCGTCTCTTTATTTCCCAATTTATCCATCGCGATGACCACGCGATGGCCATGCAATGACGTGTATATCGAGGGGAAAAAAAAAAAACAAAATGCGAGCGTCACGAACCGAGTTCTCGTTTCGAAATGTTTCTGACCCAAGTGCACGCTAGGTAGGTGAAAGCAGTGCACCAGGAGTGAAAGTCAAATTCACCGCGCCCGTAACTCTCGGAACTTCATAAGTGTCGTTAATCGGCAGGATGAAGAAGCCAACGGGATGACTGACACAAATTTTCCACATGAATCGACGTCGACGTCGACGTCGACGCCGATCTAAAAGTGTAAATCGCTTCGTTTTTTAATATGTTCTTCTTTTCTACGATTTTATTCGAATAAACATTGTTAAAGTTAAGAAATATATCACTAAAGAATTTTAATAATTTATATCGCATTAATGTATCTCATTTTCAGGATTTTGGGATTGCAATATTATGGAGTAAATATATAAATCTTACATTAGCGATCAAGGAGAAAGACATGTAAAAGTTTTCCTCAATATCTTCTTTAGACAACTCTAGAAATTTACGTTAATAACTTTTTTTAGAAATATATATTAAAAAATCAATGCAAAATTTATACAATTAACTATGATATATTGTTTAACATATTTTTTGATGGTATATTTATATTAAAAGCTGATTACTCTTAAATTCATAAAAATATAGATAAAATCAAAGCTTAGTAAAAAAATTGTTGAACTCAAAGGTGATTAGTTATCTTTGCATATAATAAGTATAACATAAACAGCTTTAATATTTAAATGAGATGAACAATAAAATAGAATAACCAATAGTGACTATCTTCCAGTTACTAATAAAAACTTATTTTTCTGGATTTGCAATGGTAATTAATTTATGAAAAACAGTAAGTATCGCAATAAGTATTACTTTTTTAATGCGATATAAAGCTATATAATTGATATGATCGAAACTGATATAGAACACTTATATTCCAGAGAGTTTACGCTACAGTTAAAATTATGTAAATAAGTTGTAATCTGTGAGCAATGAATGAAGAATGAAGTTTAAAACTCATTATTACATGAAATATAGAAAATTATAAAGAAACAAATAGAGATAAAGATGTAAATGTATATGTTATTTTTTCTGAAAACAAAATTAATAACGAACAGTTCCTAGTTTACAGAATTTTCATCAGCCGTAACTAATTAATAATATTATCACTAAATCAAAATTAATAATTAGTTATACATAAATAAATAGAAAAATATCAAAATATTCCGTTATTATACGTAAAGGAAATAAAATATATTTGTCAATCATTTTCATTCTTTTCTACTCGTTTTAGTCTTACGATTTCTATATTTAATATATATATATTTTTATAGATATTATATTATATATTTTTTATAGAAAGATAAACTAATATTTCTTTTTACCGGATAGTAAAACTCAATGAAACAAATTTTATCTATTATGATACAAATATTTTAATGTAATGAGATTTTAATTACAAAATAATTTTTGTATTCATCTGCATCACTAATTAAGATTTAATCTACAAAAAAAAGAATTAGTTTTTTATTAATCAAAGGATTTATAAACACAAGAAAATCGAAAAGGATGAGAGAATGAGAGAGAGAGAG